CCTTGGCGTTGATGGTCTCCTTGGGTAAATATTCGTAATTTATCCCAGTTTGATCAGCGTTGTAAATGTCTTCGATCGCGTGTTCTTGGATGACGGATTGAATTCGACTTGCAAACTCATTGCGCGCGGCTTCGCCTTGAGCAAGGTTGGATTACCCAGATCGCGTCTTTGCACGCATTGACATCTTCCAGCGGACGGTGCTGAAGGCGTTGCGGTGTCGAAAGCGCAAGTCGGACGAAGTCCGGAAGAAGTCATCAACCCACGACGGACTAGCCTTGAACTGGGCAGTCGAGAGTCCAAGGTCCTTGGCTACTTCTAAAGCCTTGCATGACAGTAGCAACCGACTGACTGGCACGCCGTCAGAGCGCAGCTGGCACACCCAGTTGGCAATGTTTTCTTCGGCAGCACTGTCCAAGGTTGTTCCTGTCCCGGTTGATCGAATGGTGCGGTTGGATGCGGATGACGGTGAGCTTGCAGCTTGTGTGATGAAGTCAATCTGGCTACGCCAATGCAGTATCTTCTTCCACGCAGTTTGGCGAGCAACACCACTAACCCCTTTAAGGAAAGTGTCCAAGGTGGACTCTATTGTGTTGTTTTCTAGCCATTGAAGAACATGGAGCTTCTTGGCATATGTCGTGAACACTCGCTGGTGTTTTGCTGGCCCTTTTCGAGGAGTGTTTTTGACACGAGGTCTTCCCGACGCAAGTCGGTGAGGTGCTGGACGGGTAGGCGCCATGACAAGCTTTCGCGCCTTCGCCGATGTTCAAAGCATTCTCTAAGACCTAATAATAATTCGTTTGTACAGTTAAGCTGTTGCAGCGGTATCCTCTATACAATGATGAACAAAAATATTGATATACACTGTTTTTTCTTTTCCGATCTGACAAATCAACTAAAGTACCCTTCATTTCCACTTGGAGGTGTGTACGTTAATCGAGTGAAGTAACATTCAAAACAGGACTACTCTTCCATACAACATCAATAGAGGGATTTGGCGATACTACAAAAGTAGTACTAAGGATCACAATGTAAAATGACGATTCACAGGGAGACTGCGCCCAAAGCGTAAGCGGTATACAATGTTTTGTCTGTACGGTCCCAATAGTTTAATTAAGAAGTTTGATAATATGGATAAAACATACATTCGAGTTCTAGTAACGGTCATGTAACTGTGAGTTGCCAATAGTTTAATCAAGACATTTGATAGTTTTGATAAAACAAACATCCCAGTTTGACTGTATGATACCAATAGTTTAATCAAGAAGTTTGATAATTTCGATAAAACACACATTCCATAAATTTCGAATGATCGACTGTGGCGACCGTTTGTTTCCCAGTAGGTAGTAGTTAATTTTACTAGTATGTTTTTCCAATTAATGTGGAGTCCAAAGTATGAAATCGATTGAGATTTTAGGCAGAATATAGAGGCGTGGATCCAGGATGCTTGTTTAGTAGTACGGTGTTGGAGCGTGGTGCTTCTACTAGCATTCAATAATAGCATTCATGGACGGCTGGCTTTATACTTTCATGCATCACAAGTTCCGGATGATGCAAAGCTCTTTGGGTCGGCTTTGGAAGCCACCCTTGTCGTGAAAGTCCAATCGTGTGGCAGATTAAAACAAGGCTAATTAACTCGACTGATAGGATAGTAAAAAAGTTCGGCTTGCTTCGTGATGGGTTAGGCGCATTGCCGGGGGTTTTAAGGATAGCTAACCACTGGTAATTCGACCCAGCTATCGTTATTATGGAAGTTGTTTCGAGTACTCAAACAAATATTTATGTGCGAAGCGCCATTCCTTATTCCTGCCAGCACACAAGCGAAGCGGCGTGTGTTAATGCTACTACAATACTATTATTAATACGTACTACTATTATTAATAATAGTACTTCGAAGTAATAGGGTTATATATTTGTTTTTAGAATTTGGAATTTCTAGTCCAATCGAAGAGCCAATGAAATTGATTCAAACCAACATTCCAACAAATGGTTGTTTGACCCAAAGACATGGCACGCGAATACTTTATAACGTTATGTAATTTTTGAGCAGTATACAATTAACGGTATTAACTGTAAATTGTGCTTCACTGTCAAGTCGATTTCTCCAATAAACTGCCAGTCCAAATTTAGGTGTATTATTATCACTTCAATAAGAAGACAGCGCCCAAAGCGTAAGCGGTATATAATACAGAATATCAGTCAAATTAGACTATTGTTGATTACATTCCCCACACTTACATTTGAACGGTGATTACTAAACTGTGGTCATAAATAGTGCATTGAATATCTTGAGATAGCTTAATATGACGCATTTCGACGGTTACGTTGGACTTGATTAAATTATGTACTGATTAATTTGACGCATTTGAAACGGTTACTTTATTGCATACCGCTTACGCTTTGGGCGCAGTCTCCCTGTGAATCGTCTAATTACTCCGTGATTCGTAGTGCGCACTACTTTGTAGTATCGTCAAATCCATCTATTGATTTTGTATGGAAGAGTAGTCCTGTTTTGAATATTACTTCAATTGATTAAAGTATACTACCTCCGATTTGAAATGAAGATAGTACAATAAACAGTAGCCAATCAAAATCGATATACATCTTTTTTTCACGATTTAGGAAAAGACGTTCAAGGGCCTCTTTTTCTACCTTTGGTATAGTGAGTTGCGTGAAAAATCGCAGAAAAAGAGGTAAAAAGTAGGAAACTGTGCTTGGAACCACTTTTTCATTTGATAAAAACCTATTTGGAACAGGCCCTAACGTTGCATAGTAAACGTTCAGTCATGCTATTTCTGAAAACTACTTGGAGCTTCCCCTTACAGCATATTCAGCTGCACATATCTTGAAGGATTATTATTGCGTATTTCGGACGTTACTTCACTTGAATAACATATCCAATGCACTGTACGTATACTTGGTAGCATTCAACTGCACATATTTTAAAGGATTATTAAGAGGTCTTTTTAATGTTACTGATTAACATACACAACGCACTGTACATAACCCGTTCGTATACTATGCACTGTATATTCAACTGGAAATATCTTAAAGATTATTAAGACGTATGTTGAATGATACGTAGTTTTCTTTAGTCCAAGCTCTTTAGTTAGATATAGATCGAAGGGAATTAAAATGTTTGGAATTGCAGTAATAAAATTGTAAAGACGACCATTCCAAACAGTGATCATTGATATGCCGAAATATAGGTTCTATTAAAGTATTGGAATTGAAAAAGCTTCGATCAACGATACAAATATCTATGTATAGAAGTAAATGAGTATCATGCGCTTAACGTTCATCTGAATAAGGTTGAAACTCATAACAAAATTCCCCGAATAATACAACTAGCCAAGGGTTTGATTGCTGCGGTAATAGTTTTTTCGAATCATATCAATTCTGGCATCTTATCGGGCAAGACGGCAAGACGTTCGGCAAATCAATGATTGTTTACGATATCGCCGAATGGGCCACTGCATTCGTATAAACCTTTGGATATGAATAATTCTCCTATAAATCAGATATACTACGTAGCTTGATAAAATTATGAGGAAACACAGTGAAAATCAATCATCATAGTACTTCTTTGCTGTACTATTAATACCCACTAAATAGTATTACTACGTAGTAGTTGTACGGTACTATTAACTTTTAATAGTAGTACTATTACTGTATCAGCACCTTGTACTGTACTGTAGTACTGTACATACAGTGCCAAATATCGTGTTCTGTACTGTACTACGAAGTACTGTACTGTAGTACAACGTAGTATACGTATAGCAATCATTAACTGTAAGCTTACTTTATGCGGTATCAAATTTTGTCCTTCTAGTACTCCTTCTAGTACTAGACAAAGTACAGGCATCATGCTCTCATCGGATGTACCAGTCCTTCCTTTGAATCAACTATACACATATCTTGGAGGATTATTATGACGTATTTCGAATGCTAATTCACTTGATTAACATATAAATTGTATTATGTACGGCTACGGAGTAATACTGTAGTACATGTACCTGTTTTTCACTTGATTAACATAAACTAAGTACAAGTGTAGTACTTCGATGTACAATGTACTGCACCAATTGTCAATTCATATGTTTTGGAGGATTATTATGACATATTTTGAATGTTACCAATACTTCACTTGATTACTACTAGTACGTAGTAACACATACTAGTATTGTAGTACATGTACTATGTACTGTACTATTACTGTCGTATGCGTACTGTGTACTGCTCCACACTGCAATCCATACATCCATTTACTACAAAGCTTACAGTGAGTACAATACATGATAGAGTATGTATTACAAGTATTAATAGTATCTTGTACTGTACTGTACTAGTATACAGTTACGGTGCTGTACACTGTACTATTAATAGTAATCATTAACTGTACTCTATGCGGTATCAAACCTTGTCCTTCTAGTACTCCTTCCAGTACAAGACAGAGTACTAGCATGATGCTCTCATCGGATGTACCAGCCCTTCCTTTGAATGCAAGGTCTATTGAAAATTACTCCATTCTGTGCATCCGCGTGGAGTACGTACTTCACTTGATTAGCATATACAATGTACTATTAATAGTACTGTCTACTGTAGTTCTACTGTAGTACATGTACTAGTAGGAGTACTCAAGAAGAGTACAGTAGTACTTTACAGACTAATGAGTCAAATTAGACCATTCTTGATTACATTCCAGAATTACTGCAATTACTATACTATGGTCTAAATAGTGCATTGAATATCTTGAGATAGTATAATATGACGCATTTTGACAGTTACGTTGAACTTGATTAAATTATGTATTGATTATTTTGACGCATTGGACGGTTACTTAGACTTGATTAAAGTATTGTGCACATTGTATACCGCTTACGCTTTGGGCGCAGTCTCCCTGTGAATCGTCTAATTACT